TCAAAGTACTTGTAGGCCTTTGTGTTGAGTCTTGAGAACTTGTGGAAAATGAATAAAGGCATATCAGAGCCATTACGAGTGATCATTCCAAACATTTTTATAATCGCCATTAGACTGATCCAACTTTTTCTGAATCCTCTGCACTGTCCTCAGATTGACACCCAAACACACTGAAATGTTCGTATTGGAGCTTCTGGCATGAATGGTAAACAATACAGCATGCCATTTCTAGATTTCTGGCAGTGGATTGCATCATAGTGCTTTTTTTCTCACAGTGCCCAACTGACCTTACTATACTGTGTAGTTAACAAAATATAAAAATAAACATGTATGCGTGAAATTAAAAATACAAAATGTTGACAATTTACCCATCGCACTCTGTGTATATATTTCAGGTAGAGTCTATCTGTAAAGGGAACAAAATGAATAAAAAGAGAAGAGAAAGAACTATTCTTAGCCAGTATATTTCGTTCTCTGAGACAGTTTATTAAGGCAAATGTAAGGATTTATTTTGTTGCAGGTGTTTATATACAAGAGCAAGGATGTCACTGGTTTAACAAAACTTTTAAATTTGAGAACGTTCATGAATATTCATCAGGTGTTTGAAAAGTCAGTTAAAACATGTGGAGGGGACAAAATGCCATAATTCAAAGTCTGGAAAGACAAAAGTAAACAAGTAATATTCAAGAAATAATTTTTTTTTTTTAATAAATAATATAGTTAAATCCATTGCCTCATGTTTTTGAACATGTGCACCATATACAATCAGGTCACAATTTAAAAATATGAATTTATTAAAAAAGCAAACAAATTACTTGATAAAATTTCTCAGAGGACAAACTGTGTTGGCTAAGAATAGTTTTCCCTTTTATATATATATATATATATATATATATATATATATATATATTTACAGCAAGGTTCACCCTTTGTGTATGGAAGAATACTGTTGACCCTAGCTTTAAACAGGTTAAGATTGTAGTGATCAGGAGAAACACCCTGTTGAGAGTCATTCCACAGGGCAGTGGTTCATAAGAAGAAGCTGTTTGAGTGGAACTTGTCACTGATGGGATACAGATGAAATGTGGTTGGTTTGACGCTATGTAAGTGGCATGGCATGTTCTTGCTATGAAGGTTTGCCTTGGCGGGACCAGGGAATGTAGTTCATCTGAGCACTTTCCATGGAAGTAGCAGTAAAGCAGGGAGAGGCTTGCTACATACTGCCTGTAGAAGAGAGGTTGAAGGGTGGAGAATAGTTTGTCAGCCACAAGGGCTTTGAGATGTTTTTAAACTCAAGTCTATCAAGGCTTCCTGAATATGAGAACAGTACTTCATTTTTGGCCTGATCTGGCTCTTGTAAAGATAGAGGATAGCAAGAGGGTCAGGTACTTACTGGACTGGTACAGGGAGCCAATCATTTTACCTGCATCCTTAGCAATGGATTGTATGTACGAGTTTCACTTGAGGTCAAGTGTGATTTTGAAGCCCAACAGTCTTTCAAGGCACGCTGCTTCCCAAAAAGGACCTCTGTTCATCCAGATTGGTGGTAGTTTGGGGTCAGATCAATGATGATGGAATGTAACTTGCTTGGTTTTCAAGGCATTGAATGTAACCAGCTAGTTTTTACCCCATCGAGTAGTCTGTGCAAGAATGAAGAAAGTTCAGTTGCCAATCTCTGACCACTAAGAGTTTTAGAGGTCGGCTCATATATAGTCATACTATTGGCATAGATGTTCACAAATGAACTGTGTATATTCTTAGGCAGTTCATTTATATAGATCAAAAAGAGGGTTGGTCCAAGAAGTGACCCCTGGGGGATCCCTGAATTGACCTCTAGGGCACCGAAGGACTGGCCATTGATAACTTCAGGGACCTACCTGTTAGGAAGGATTTTATGATCAAGAAGATCCTTCCAGTGATTTACACATTTTTTCCTCGCTAGTAGCACAACTCTAAGTTTTGTGCACAATATAATAGTCAGGTACTTATAGCATAATTTAAATATTGATATTTATACTCAACTGTAATGCTAGATAGGCATTTGTTTATGGGAGTGGTTAATAAAATATATATAACATTAAATACAAATATACACATCTAATATGTAGTTTCAAATATAACACAAATATACACAAAAATTTATAATATCTGCATATCATGTTTGCTATTGTATTCATACAAAAATGTAAAAATATGCACACAGATAAATGTATGTTCATACACATCCATTCATATATATATATATATATATATATATATATATATATATATGGCCTGACAAGCAAATGTATTTAGCATGAAATTACTATTGCCTCTGGGTGTTGACTTCAATGTCTGCTTTTATATATATATATGATTCAATAAATTACAAACATTATGTCTGCTTATTTTTATCATAATCCTTTCATATTCACAAATATTTTTCCATATACAGGTATACTTCACCCTACGTCATTAATTGATTCCAGAGGTCACAACTTAAGTCAAAATAACCACACTATAAACTGCAAATAAGTACTCCCCATTGCATTTTACAGTATTTATATGTACATACAGTATTCTGAATAAAATAATTTATCAGCGATATAGCTTTATGCTTAGCATTAGCAATGAAAGAATGGTCTGCCAATTTTTTCCAATATAATCCAGTTTCATCAACATTAAAAATCTGTTCAGGAAGGAACCTGTTTTCTTCAATGCCAATGCTTTAGGAAAATAGGCTGCTGCTTGTTTGTCAGCTGATGCACTTTCACCTTGCTTCTTAATAGAGTGATAATTTCTTTAAATTTCATAAACCAGCCTTGACTCACTTTAAACTCAACATCTTTCTCATCTGGGTATTTTTTGTTCAGGTCCTCAAACAAAGACCATGCTTTGCTTGAATGATTTCTTGACTAATAGCAGCACACTGGTGATTCACCCTAGCATTCCAAAGAGAAAGAAGTTGTTCCATCACTTCAAAGATGTTTCTTATTAATAACAGCATTCTTCATCCCTGGGGCATCAGATTTGATATGTACCAAAATCTTATCCTTATTGTGAACAATCATTGATACAGTTGTCTGGCTCATTCCAAAAGATTGAGCAATCGATATAACTTTTACATTTTTTTCATAGCATTTTATCATAGTAAGTTTATCATCCAGTGTTATAGCATGACACTTAGCATTTGCACTAGGAATTTTCTTAGGAGCCATTGGGGCAAAATATAAAATCACAAATGAATGAGAATGAAAGAGTAGGGGATAAGCAGATGTATACCAAAACTGGATTTCAATTTTGTGGGAATCATGAGTAGAGCTGACAATGACACCAAACAGTAGATATTGGAACTACCATGGAAAATGCCAATATTGAGCTCTTAAAGATCGCTAAATAAGACAACACAGTTACAGATGTTTTCATATTTCGTTCTTTAGGATTTATGATGATTTTATTGACATTACTGTAAATGTACATATTTTAATATGATTTTACATATTTTTATTTTTATTTATTGTACAGTAACATGATTTTATGTGCTTTTATTGCTTTTCTATTGATATTACAACTTCAATATTTGTGGCAAACAGCTGTAAAGTTGAATAAAATGACTTAGACTTGATTTTTATTTTTCCATTTATTTTTTTGACAAACGATGTATAATTGAGAATGACTTGACATGACATAACCTGAGGTATACCTGTATTACAATTAAATATTCGTGAATATGAAAGGATTATGATAAAAATAAGCAGACATGATGTTTGTAATTTATTCAATCAAACATGCCCAAAAGAGAATTTGCTGCCATGAGCAACTCTTTAGGAATGCATGCTTACTTCCAAGCATAATGAATGGATGAGAAAAAATGCCTTGAACAATGGCTTTTCCACACTGCTATGACTAGTGAGGACTCCCTACTCATACAATGGAAATGAAGCAATAGCAAATTAATTTAAAAAAAAAAAATGAACACAACAAATACTTTGAGTGAAACTTTTCCTCCTTCAGGTAACTTAAACAATTAAAATAGTTATTGGTTACTAAATGTTGTATAATATATTTTAGGAAGCTTGGAAGGTGGGGAAATGACTATTTATAAACAAATTAATATCTGAAATATTCAACCATTTGTTTTGCTAACAGATTTAAATGATTTCTATCATTTAAGCAAATTATTTACTTTTTATGCTTATAAAGTACAATAAAGATTTAAAGGACTTTTTTCATTATAAAGTACAAGAAAAATCTGCTTTCATATGAATGAATATAGAGACAAAGATAAACTATTGATAATAGTTGAGCAATAAGATAAAGCATAAGGCGACTTAGAGACTATTTGAGAGAAAATATGAGAAAGAAAAAGCAAATTTAAAAAAAATGTTTTTGAGACACTGGAGGCTGACAAGAGGATTATGAAAATAATGCAAATGATTGAAGAAGAAAAAATGACTTAAGAATAAAAACTAAAGAAAAAAGGAAAAAAAAATTATGTGAACTATTCATAAAGACAATGTGAAATTAATTTATAAGAATTTAAATGACCAGATGACATGATAACAAATTTCTGTTCACTGCAGCGTAAATTGCGCATGAATTCCAATAAACCAGTCGTTGATCAATCAGGGGAGAATATTTTTGTTGATATCCCTTTGGCTAGAAACTTATGATTGGCATAATATTTTTCTGCCCTGAGTTTCCACTCTCATCAAAATCAGAGATAACTTGTTTATTTTTACCAATATGCAATATTTTTTATTGAGATGCAAATTTCTGATTCAGAGTTTCTGGCAAAGATGATGATAATAGTTATCCAATTTTTAATATTATTTTGCTGATAAATGTTGTGATTAGTTTTTTGTTATTGAGGTACTAGTACATCCAGAATGGACCAAAAAGTTACATCAATAAATTTTCTGAATGCAACATGGAAGCATGTCTGTAATGTATAGATAGTTAGGCCTTGGTGTCCCTGCACATTGAACATCTGTCAGTGCTTTTGTGTCTCTACCCGATCTATGCCTCTCAGAAATGGAACATGTTTTATAAAAAATTTTACAATATCATGTGTGTTTTCTTCCTGTGTCTATCTTGGTGTCCCTGCACTTACTCCCTCCTGTCTGTGCCTTAGTGTCTCTGCATGCACTTCCTCCTTTCTGTGCCTTGGTGTCCCTCTATGTGCTTCCTCCTGTCTGTGCCTTAGTGTCCCTGCATGCACTTCCTCCTTTCTGTGCCTTGGTGTCCCTGTACGTGCTTCCTCCTGTCTGTGCCTTAGTGTCCCTGCATGCGCTCCCTTCTGTCTGTGCCTTGGCGTCCCTGCACACACTCCCTCCTGTCTGTGCCTTGGCATCCCTGCACACACTCCCTCCTGTCTGTGCCTTAGTGTCTCTGTATGTGCTTCCTCCTGTCTGTGCCTCCTAGATGTCGCTGTGCACACCTCTTCCCATTTGTGCCCTGGTGTGTCTGTATACTCATCTTCCCATCTGTGCCTTGGTATCTCCACATACCCCTATGTCCGTCTGTGTCTCTGGATGCCTCTTCTTCTGACTGTGTTTCTGCTTCTTCTTTCTCCGTTCGTGTTTTCCAGATATAGAAGATACTTCATAAATATTGCCACAATACCATTCAGATCTATCAGGCAATCTTCATTTTAAATTTGGGATTTTTCCTTTTTTTTTTTTTATTAGTCTCCTTCTCCGCATGGGAAATATTGTAAAACAGAAAGCACTGTGGGAATCTGGAAATATTTGAATCCATTTAGCTATATATTTAAGTGGTATTCTAAAATTAATTGAAAAAAAAAATTTTGCAAACTGGTCTCCAAAGAAAAGACTTTCCATTTTAGGTACCAGGTCATCTCCCTGAAGATTGTTGGTCATTAGAAAACTTAATGAGAAATCTTTATATAGAAAAATAATATATTAATATATTGTCATGATACATTCTTTTTGTGGTATGCATTTGTATATTTTTCACATCTAATCTCTAATTCATTTTGCAAAATTGATGTAATGTTTAAATATCTATTGGCTGAACTCACAAATTCACATGCAGTTGGAATTTGTAAGACTTGCCCACCTATTGATGTGTATGCATTTCTAGAATGTTTGGCAAGGATAGGCTTGCTTTCAATGACTTTTGAGATATTAATGTGATTTGCTATACAACTAATGATACTATTTATTTTGTGTGCAATTATAATACTAATAAAACTTGTCATTGACTATTCATAACCAAGAATTGATGGGGATATTTTGTGAGCCTTACCACAGTTCACTCTTTAAAACATGTCCTCAACTAGTTGAAGATTACCAGAGCAATAATGAAGCTATACTGTACTGTATGTTGTCTCTACCCTCTCTCACACTAATAGCCTGTTTGATATATGTTCCATAATAACCAACAAATGACTGAAACTGTGGATAGTATAAACATTTCTTTCCTGAACATACATCTTTATGATAATGATTAATTTATAACTGAAACAAAAAATGTGTTTAAAAACAATAACTATTAACTATTAAAACAATATTACAGTATCCGTTATAATTTTGTAACATTATGCTGGATATATATATAATTATTTTTTATAAAAAAAAAGAAAAAAATTATAACATAAATATGTTATAAAATCACTACAATAATAGCCATTTTGTTTCAACACCCTCAGTGTCTTATCAAGTGATGATGTTGAAGATAAAATAAATGGTTTTAAAAGTTTCAAATTAATTAACGATCCTTCGCTAGGGGAAAACATTGTTACAAAAGCTAGAGTGACCAATCAAAACCCAAGTATAGGAAGATTCAAAAGCTTGACAACGAAATCATTTTATAATAGCTATTCATATCTTTAAAATACAGGTAATATTAAAAAGAATTTATTCTAACCAATAATTATTAAATTATATGATGAAATTTGATATTAAAATTAAAAACTGCCAATTTTAAAATCCAAATTTAATCACTATTAAGTTTAAAAACTATAAAATTACTGAGGAGAAAATAAAAAAATACATATGTTATTCAATTTATTTCTTCATTGAAATTACATTAGAATAGATGTGACAATATCCGGTCATATATATATATATATATATATATATATATATATATATATATATATATATATATATATATAGAGAGAAATTGCAATTTAGCTGAATTCATCTATATTCTTTTTCTTTTCAACATCTTTGATTTTAAATCTCCCACATTGTGATAACAGAAAATCTGCTAAGAATGGTGAAACAATGTAAAAACCTGGATGTAAAATTTACTGTGGATGAACCAGTGATTAAAGCACTTTCTAGACATTTTCATTTTGGTGAATTATTTCCTCTATTAATTAGATATATTTAGGGTGCCCTATAATGATGGGATAAATTTTAAATGCACTTATCTTGGATTATAAAAATTTCATTGAGTACTAAATATATTTATTACATAACTGATATACAAGAGTTCAGTATATTATTTAAGATTTGAATATTACATCCCTGAGATGGTTACCACCATGAAGTAAACATGCACAAATATGCTCTCTCATTTCAAATTTCTTTTGAAATCCAGTACATAATGAGGGTCTACCATCAGCAAAAGAGATATCAAATACCTGTAGGAAATAGCACAATCTTAAATAATATTTTGAACTTTTGTATATCAGTTATGTAGCAAATATATTTGGTACTCTGTCATTTATATTATATCAATCAATGTTGCTCTAAATGCTGTATGTCTTTCTGGGGTAACTTCAAGGTTTAGAACCCTTGTTCATGACACAAGGGATGTGAGGATAGTGTAATAGATAGCAGCTCAGAATGAAAAATCAAAGTTTGAATTTCAATTCAGTTAAGAGAAGGAAAAATGGCTTACCTCCTGGAATGAAAGGTGTCTCACATGCAAAATATGTGAAAGAAAATATAGCCAATCCAGAAGGTACAATTTGAGAACAATTTGAGTTCAGAGATTTTGCAAGACGAATTTGTGGCTTATGCAAATTTCCAAGCCTCAGCCTTTTGATAAAATGAGCATGAGTGAGAGAAAATCAAAGGGGCAGTGGAGTGGTCATGCTTTGTGTGCGGAGTTCTGCAGTAGTCTCACCGAGCGTGACTGAAAAGAAGACAGAGTACAATAGGTACTCCAAACAGCCATATCTTTTTTGCTACAACATTCGTTTACATGGAAATACTCTTGGGAAAAGTATGAATCTATTTTTTCTTTAGACCTCCCTTCCAAGCTACAGGCTAAATAGTTGGATTTGTATGTGGAAAAATACAATAACATTAATACAATTATTGCTAAAACATTTGCTTACATGGAAATACTCTTGGGAAAGGTATGAATCTATCTTTTTTTTAGACCTCCCTTCCAAGCTACAGGCTAAATAGTTGGATTTGTATGTGAAAAAATTATTATTACATCCAGAAAGTTGTTAATGTCATATTCACTCATGGAAAAAAATAAATAAGTATTTTTCTTACAATCCAAAATATATATTTTGGATTTAAATAACCAAGAAACGGTTGATTGACCGTAAAAAAACAATCAGTCAATCAAATGTGGTACAAGATGTAATGTTACATTCTGGAGAGGATGTGACACTTTGATGTTCACCATCCCAAAATATAGGAAAATGAATATTAACAAGTTAGAATTAGGTCGTGATAATTAATACTGGCATTTTTTATGAGCCTATAATTTATACAATTATTTTTTTTTTTATTTCTCTTGATTAATACTAGGTTTGATAATAGGCTTGAATGGGGTTTTTTTTTTTGTTATTTTTGTGTTTTTTGTTATTTTTGTGTTTTCTCTTTCTTGGATATAATTTCTGTCCCAGATATTATTGCAATATGTCTTTCATTGAGACAATTGATCCACAGGCTTTGAGTTGATCTAGTTCAAACAACTGTATTCAAATTTGGGGTCATATCATAAAATACTGATTATTAAATTCCTGTCTGTTACTGTTAGGTACAGATAAAGATGGTTCCAAATGTTATTCAGGTTTTGAAAAATGCATTAGTAATTTCACTACTATCTTTGACAGTTTCAGAGGTACACTATACTTTGAACTCTCGTCAACAAGATGATAAACTTTGACTCTGAGGATCTCCTTGACATCCACAGTTTAATTAATGTATGTACCCAGTGAAAAAAAAACAAACAAAGTCTGTATTTAGCGTTTTTGTATTTTATGTGTATTTCACAGGAAGCTGGAATGTCCTCTGATATTTCTCTCAATTCTTTCTTTTACATTTGCAACCTTAGTTTGCCTACTTTCCACGTGGGTGGCTAAAGTATCTATATAATTTAGTAATGCATATACATGCTCAGAATGATAGCATAATACAAAAGCAGGTGGATGTATATCTATGTTTTATAGATAATGCAAAAACTTTTGGTGTGGTATGACAGAAAGAACTGTTTAAACTGCTTCGTAAGCTTGATTTATTTGGGGAAAATATTTGAATAATCCAGAAGTTATACAGGAAGCAAATATATTGCATACAGATTGAAAATGAATTCAGTAAATACGCAAAAATATAATGAGGTGAAACAAGGATATGTATTATGACCTAATGTATTTAACTTTTATAGTGTTGCAATCCTGAAAGAATTAGAAGTCCTACCAGGATTTATTATTGGTCGAACCAAGCTTTACAACAAAGGGTATGCAGATGAAACAATGTTGATAGCAGACATAGAAAGAAAGCTGCAGTAAAGAAAAACCAGAAGAAAGGACTAACCATTAATTATAAGAAGAGAGAATGTATGCTTATCAGCTAGAGTAAAAACTCATTTACAAATTAGAGATACTAAAATCAAGCAAAATTTAAATATGTGGTAAATGTTCTAACAGGAGATGGGAAATATGACACTGAAATCCAAAGGTGTGCTGTATTAGTAAATGATGCCTTTCAAAAGCTAAGCAGAGTATTAAGAAACAGAAAAATTTAATTAGAAACAAAAAAAAGAATGCTTAACTTCTATGTAATTTCAATCCTCATAATATGGCAGTGAATGCTGGACAATTTCCTCACAGATGAAGAAAACGAGGTAAAAGAAATGTGGTTATACAGAAGAATACTGAGAATGCTATAGACTGAAAATTTGTGCAATGAAGAAGTTTTAAGAAAAATGGAAACACAAAGGACACATCCTTAGAATCAAAAAGAGATAGTAGAACTTTCTTGGATAGATAATGAGGAAAGTGGTCTTGGAGAATTTAGTACAGGACATTGAAGACAAGAGGGATAGAGGAAAGCAGTAAGTAACCTACTTAATGAGCTTGTATAAATGGATGGCAGAACAGGAATTACAAAAAAGCATAAGTTAAAAAGGATAGGAAGTTTTGGAGAGCCATGATCACTCATGTCCTGAAGGGTCACAGCACATAAGAGTAAGATTATTTTTTTCTTGTGGATTGTGTCACTCTTTGTTAAAAACCACAGACTCACAGAAATATAATAGTGTCCTGAGGCTGTACATTGCATTTCATTTTTTTTCTTACCATGAATAGTGTCATTTTCAAAGTTCAGTCTTGTTTGTACTCTCTTCATAGAAGCTTTGCTTAGCAAAAGGGGGATATTTGCCTCAACTTCATCAGTACAATGTCTGTTCTAATGCCTGCAAGAATACACAGCTGTATAAT